CATTGGCCCATCAGTGCAGCATCTAGCGGGTATGCGCGCATGCATGCGCATTGCTAGCAAACCCGTGCTAGAGCAAACCTGGGGAGCTACTGATAGAATTTTTACCACCTGCAAAAGTAGGGATAAAAACACTTAAAAATACTTGCAAAAATACCAGGTTATCGTTGTATAGTAGCTCAAGTAAGGTCATTTTCCACAAGGATTGAATGAATAATTTGTATTTAAACTAATCCTTAGCTAATTATTTGAAACAAAGTTCCTCAAATGTTGATTTTGAAATTTAAAATAATACAAACGAATTTAAAATAAAAACAATTAAATAAATCAAAAAAGTAAAGACAATAAAAGAAAACAGTTTTGGAAAACAATTTAAACACTAGGGTTCCATCGTTGCTATTAACAATCCTAAGCATTTATATCAATTACTTATGAATTTCCACATACATGCTTTGAATGTTAGGTTTTCCTAATGTATATTTTCCTTGTAATGTTTAAGTGGAAACGTATATCTAACATGCAACTCGTCTGTGATGTTCAAATCGAATATAAACATGCAAGGCTCAGTAAGCTTTCCTTTGAAAAAACATGCAACCCTTAAGAGCGTGATGTTCACTTTCAGTGAACTTACAATTACTAATCACAAGAAGCCCTCCTCAATTTCAGGGTAATGTTCCAACATAAATTGCATCAAATTACTTATCTAAATACCTTAATAGTCGTAAATCACCAAGACAATTGAATAGTTTAATCGTGGTCACTAATAATTCAAAGCAAGCATGCATCCATTCGTCAAGTTGAAAGACTCACAAACATCCTTCAATTGGAATCACTCCAAAATTCCTCCATTTGAATACTTTTTGCTCAAGAGGAAGTTGAATGTTCTACATTGAAAATATAATTCAAAGTATCAAAATTCACACACAATGACCAATAAATTAATACTAAGGTTAGAGTAAAATACATATTGACTCATCAACTACCTATCCAAAAGCTCATTCTTTACATTTTACATACTTTACCATGACGCTCAGTCAGCAGACGATGATGTTTAATTAACTCCTTACTCATACCAATCTCATTCGTGACTTTGATCTTGGCTTGTAAAATCAAAAGGAGATCGAGCGGGAGTCACTATTTCGTAGACGGCTAGGAAAAGAAGTCATAGGCAACAGAATTCCCGCCTATTAGCAGCAAAGTCAGGAGCTCAGAGACCATTCAACAGAAAGGGATAAAGATCACATATTGATGAGTGAAGCATTAAGGAGTGTTCATTCTAGGCTAGGCCTTTGCTCCGACGTGCCTTCTCGCATGGGGTCAAGGGCTAGTTTTCATACTTGACTCGGTCCTTAGTAAAGTCTTCATAATGGACAGAGCTCAGGCATAGCATTCACTCCCACCTTGGTTTTAGGGGTGCTCTAAGAATCACGTCAGCGTACCATCTACGAGGAGAAACAGCACAATGGTTCGTCCGAAGTTAGCTCCACCAATTCTTTAGTTTAATAATTGTAGGAAGTGGACCGTAAACCACCGTGAAATTATGGAGCAGTAATGGCAGCAGGTTAACATCCATCCCATCTTAGTAAGACATATAACTATTACTCGACTAATGAATCAGAGACTTCAAGCCAGAAGAAAACTTGTAGGTAGTGCTACACAGGCAGGTAACCATCGTAAATGTTTTTCCATTCATAGACGAGATCGTGTAGACGCGACCTCTTCAGAGGTTCTTAATCATCCTTCATGCCGTTCAAGAGAAATTCGGAACCAGACCGGTACCTGAAACATTACTGAAGTGTTATGACACTTCACAAGTAGAACGAAGCCTTGATGTGCAAATTTTTTGCTATTATTTTGCAGGCAGGGAGCTGAGGATTGGTTTCACTCTCTGGTCCTACAGTTTATTGGCAATTCTAAGATACTCTGAAACTCATTTCATAGAAAATCACTTTGAGGCAAATTCTATGAATTCACCTCCCCAGCAAAAGGAGCACTCAGTATCTCTAAGTGACGTCAGACACCTTAGCTCCCATGCCAAGGCGTAAAACATCTAGCAGAAGCATAGCCTTTGTATGCAGTGGATGTGGAAATAATGGTTGAAGAACAATTGTGCAATTGTGCAACTTACAGACATAAGAAAAATTTGAGCATACCCTACACAAGGAAGTTGATTGAGTGACTGTCTCACCATTCTCTTATGACAATGAGCAGATGGCTCCTATAAGAAGATTTTCAACTCCCACCTTTACATTGTTTTAGAGGGACTCAGATCCAAAGAGACAGTTGGAACACTTTAGGATGACGATCAGCTGATCCGCAAAGTCTATGCAACAACTTTGCAACAAGCTGCACAGAACTGGTTCCATACTTCAAAACCTCGTTCAATCAATAACTTTAAGGATATTTTCCTTGATTTTATGAAGGAATATTCCTTTTACAAGGTCATCAAAAAGCTGTCAGACCATCTCTTCACTGTCTAAAAGAAATCTATCAAATCGCTTCATGGTAACATTAAATGATTTAAAGAAGAAAATGCCAAAATTGTGGGATGTGATTGTAACATTGCATTAGTCGCATTCAAAGGTGGCCTACCAGCTGATCACTCTTTACAGAGATCTTACCATGAATTGAAGCTTATTTTTGGAAGATGTTTTTGTTATGGCTAAGCTTCATGCCATTTGGTATGATGCTAAGCATGCAGTTAAGGCAATTGACCTTGCGAAGAGTTTGCATGGACATCACTATATGGAGTTGGACAAAAGACTTTTGGTGGGAATACCCACAGAGGAGAAAAACACAAGGCGTGCCCTTCCAAATGAATCTCTTTCCAAGAAGAAGCAAATGAAGTTCACCATCCCTATCTACCAAATACTTCGAGAAGTGAAGGACAAGCCTTGACTGAGAAGGCTGTCATCACTAAAGAGTGATCCAAACAAATGGAATAAAAAAAAAAAAGTATTGTGCATTCATGCATCATATTTTGATAATATCGGTAAGTTCATTTATTGGTGCAACCATCTTTATGAGAAGAAAGGCCATTGCATAAAGTATGGGCCAAAAAGGCCATTTAAAATATCAAAGATTACGATGCAGGGAATGAACATTCACAAAAGACGATCAAGATTAACAAGATCTTGGCTAAACCAGAGGCTCGTAGCGTTACCAATTGTGAGAAGAAGCATAAGATCTAGCAGGTTACGATGGTAGCCCAAATATTGACTAAGAGTTCCTTTACAGAGGATGACTTGATAGTCGATTTCTTCAAGAAGGATTTAAATAGACTTGATTTATTGCATGCTTTGATTATAAGCAGAAAATAATCATGCTTATGCACTCTGGTGCGGGATCGATCCTACTGATCCCTCTCCCCTTAATAACTAACAACTAACAACTTAACCTACTAATGAAACAAACATTAAGTTGATGAAACAAAGGCAAGAGAGAATTAGAATTATGGAGAAGCATAGAAGGGGATTGGAACCAAGAAACCAAGGAAACAAAATTGAGATGGGAAAAGCAAAGAAATTAGGAAAATACCCCAAAATGGGACAATTTCTTAATCTTGGGAAAGAAATCGGACAAATCAGTTATGCACAAGCCATGCACACCATGCACAAAAGAGAATTACTAAAATACCCACATATAAATACTAAAAATTAGAAGCCCATTGCATCACTTTTCTCATTCGGAAGAGAGGGATGTTGAGAGAGCTCTATGAGCTATGGGTTTATGGGTTGAGCTCAGATCTTTGAGCTTCGCTTTCGAAGAGAGGGAAGTCAAAAAAGAGATGAGAGAGTGAGCTAGGTTTTGGGTTGACCTCATACTCTGATTTTGAACAAAGAGATGCGAGAGAGAGAGAGAGAGAGAGAGAGAGAGGTGAGAAGAGTAAGCTGGGTTTTGTACCATATTTTCTGTTTTGGCTAGAAAGTTCCATTTTTTCCGACGACTGAAGCTTCAATAGGCATAGTAAGGTACATGGTTTAGTTCTAAGATCCTTCATCAATGATATAAATGGGTTGTTTGTAAGATGAATTAATACTTAGAAGTTAAATTAGGGTTTGTGCTTCATGTTGGGGCCTATGGGTGGAATAAATTTCGGGTTTTGACGTGCTACAAAACTGGGATAGAAAAATTTCTGGTTCAAGTGTCTAATTGCATAAATTTGTGGAAATTTTTCCGTAATATGCATATGGTGTACATGGCTACATCTTAATATGAGAAGCGAGAATGTTCACTAGTTATGATGCACATATATTGTGCCCCAAAATTTAGCGAGTATAACCACAACCTAATTGACCTCGGCGAAAAACTAAATTAAGAAAAAGTTTAGAGGACGTTAAGGATTATGCATGTCCATGAAATAACGACAATGAGTATCATGTTTTCCACGTGCACAGTTAAGCGGTGATTGATATACGTAACATGACTTTTCAAACTGCCATTGTAGCCTTATATACGTAACAATTATGTTTTAATTGTATCCACTATACTAATAGGTCGCCGTTAAATTTTCTTATTAATGTGAAAAGCAGCTCGTTGCGCGATCTCCAGTTTTGTGCATATCATGTGCATGTACTGTACATATGATGTGCATGTGGTGTGCATATAGTGTATATGGACAGGTGATGATGTCATTTTTCTGATTTCGAAGAGAGAGCTGTGAGCTCAGGGTTTTTGGATTGGCTGATATCTATAAGCATATCATGTGCATGTTGTGTACATATAGTGAGCAAATCCTAAAAAATTCATCCAACAAAACACTAGCATTAATGACTGGGCTTTGTTCCCACCCTCGATGCGAGTCCAATGGTGGTGGTCTCGACCCTTGATTGTTTGCCATGTTGCCAGAAAATGGTCAAAAAACTCGTGGCCTGCTTAAGTTTCGATCCCAACGAGTAGGTATGAGATTTGTGACAAGGCTAGGTGTTTTAAACTCGTGAGGACAAGATGAAATTGGTGGTGGCTTCGATTTGGAATTGTCCTATTTCTGGGTTCCTAAGAAATATGGACAACCATCCAAGGATGCTTTTTACTATTTAATAAAGCTATCTCAGGTCATGCTATAAAGTAGTAGTACAATCTGATTAACCATAAAAGAAATGTTTTAATATTCTAAAAGTAATCTATCATTTGGAGCTTGGAGATGAGGGGCCTTCAAAGCGAAGATAATCATACATAATGCCCTGGAAAGGGCCTGTGCTTCTTGGTTGCGTCAGATAGATTATATTATCTCCCTCGACAAGCCGAGAGCTTGGTACGTCCACATTGTAAAGCCAATAAAGCCCGTGGATTCCATGCCTTGCTATTGAGTTATCTCTCCCTATCATCCCGCTCGTGAATAGAGGGCGATTTGCCTTTGGATCATTCACCCGAACCTATATATATAACATATATAATTAATGTAGATTTGGTAACAAAGTTGATTATGTTCTGAACACACGAGGCCTACTTACAATTTAAGCATCTATCTAGTAATACAAGTCTGATAATATAACATTATCCGCACATAAAAAATATTTATATATTAAAATACATGCATGGTACGTTAATCATGAAATTACAATTAAATAGTGAGTTGTGAAATATACCTGCAATTCAGAAAAAGTTGCAGAAGCAAGCGCTACTCTCAGCTTGTAGGAACCAGTTTGGTCTAAATTGTCAAGATTGAATTTAATTTGCCAAGTAGTTCCTTGATATTTATTATCTTCATTTTTCCTATACATATGGTAATCAACAATAAAATGCCATAAGTTTTACGCCGATATACTGGTCAATCGGTATTCTTGCTTCTAGTGCTAGATATGATACCCGTACAAATTGCTTGTCGATCAAGAAAAATCGATTATATATAGTATGGGATGGAAGAATTGACACCTGGTAACCTGAGCAAAGAACCAGTCTTTGCTGTAGTCACTGACACCAACGGTATAAACCAAGTCTTGATCAGAATATAACTCTGAGTATCTTTCCCACAGTCCATACTGCCTAAACCTGCCAAATGAAATCTTAGTTCATATCTTCTATCCAGTCGTTCCTCATTTCTTCAAAATCACAGTCCGACAAAAATCATTCTTGTAATTTTTCATAATATTTTTGTGTATACATGCCAGACTGTGATTTGCTGGTACTTGAAGAATATATGCGTATAAGTATGAATAACAGCAAGGAGCATATAACTAAGCTAACCTGTCAGGATGATTGACGAAGAGTTTGTTAATGTACTTTGGATTAGGGTCGGGAACATAAAACTCTGCAGCAGAACGATCCGGAATGCCTATTTCCCATAAAGTAGGGCCATCTCTGGGAGGCTCATATACAAGATCACCCATATCAATGTCACAACCTACATTGCTTGCACTGTTAATTTCCTTTTTTCTTTTCAACACTTTAGTAGCTGATAGGCAAAATGAAAGAAGAGAGCCCTACAAATTAACATTAGGGAATTAGTTGGACCACCTGAGGTTATAGTCATAACAACATCGTAATGATAATCTCCAATAAAACCAGGGACTGATGCATTCAGATTATAATCGCCCGTGCGTATCCCATTGATGCAAAAGTAGCCGTCTTCATCAGTTGTGGTCCAGAATTGATAGTCCTGACGTGTAATAAAATGTGAGATTAAGAGCAAATTAAGTTGAGAACTATATGTTTGAACTTAATTTGAACATGTAGAATTCAATCACCTTGCATTCTCTTTGCCACGATCCAATGTCTCCTGGCAGGGCTAACCCAACATACGCACCATTGACAGATATATAATCGTTGCTTATGTATCTTGATGTTGGTTATCACAATAACCAAAATTAAAAACGGAAACATGTTTAGTGTCCATAGTTTTGGAATACAAGCTAATTACAAAAAATATTAAGACATGACTAAAATAATTAATACGTATAGTTATGTACCTATCTTGAATAAGTAGTCTGCCCCTAACATTACCCCGTTGGTATGACTTGGGAAATTCCTCAGATGCTGGGAAGCTGTAGGGCCAGCACTGGACTTCCATCTCCATCTGCAAAAGCAATACTACTCATCAATTTGATTAGTTAAAATAAAGGAGAATGATTTCTGCACATGTCCCTGATCATTCTTCGTGGATTTACTCAATCCAAAAAAAGGGGAATAAACGGGAGTTTGTAGGAGAGAAAATAGGCAAGTGAAAATCATTTCCGTTCAAATTAATGAAACTTCACTCTAAATTATATGCAGTCATCACCATTCATGTGATTTATATATGTGTATATATAGAGTATGAAAGAAAATTAAACAAAATTTGGTTAGTATTGCTGTTAATTAATGTAAATTAAACCTGTGATTTAGCATCCTCCCATAACGAAAGTGGGTCATTTCCTTCATATGCGGAATTAACATACATAAAAACTGGCCCAAAAACTTTCTTCCATTCCTCACCCGCTGCAAATTTTGGCACCAAATCTTCTCCAGCATAATGTGCACTTAGAAACATCTGATCGTACAATTCAAAATTATTAGCAATGTTATGGAAACCTTATATCCTATGATGATAGATTTTACTTCTCCACCAATATTGAAATAAATTTCAAGATTCATAAGTTTGAAGTGTGAAAAACGTTAGGCTGTAACAAATGTGACAGTGGTTGAGTTTTGGGTCTACTTACCGCAAGGGTGGTGGGGCCAACATGGGAAGTGAGGTTCTGCTTAAAGGGTCCACCAGATCGAAACTCAGTGCTCGGGGTAATTTGCCAGAACCCCACTGGCGGCTCGGTGCATATCCATCCATGAACCTTATTATCCTTGTTGTCACATGAATATTGGTACTTGTCATCCACCTGATTAATTAAGTATCAATTAGCCAGGGTAAATAATTAGTTTGTCATCTTAAAAAATAAGTTTTATTTCATAATTTTTTCTAAAGTAAAATAGAAGATTTAATGAGAAAATATATGTAGGTAGGAAATATTGTTACTTCTCCTTTAAGCTCCGGCTCCACAGGGTTGACAAGAAGAACGGCCTCCGGATAGGCCAGGGCTTGGCCTCTCGGTGGTGAACGGTCGTCAGGCAAGGGCATGTATCTCTGCCTATTGTCCGCCATGGCCATGTAGTGAAACCTTTTTATCCAAAATTCCACATAAACCGTGAATTAGATTAACTGTAACTATAGATCGATTCTGAACATTTCATTGTTTGTCAACACATTGTATTCGCCTATTTATTAGATGACAATTTGATAACTAAATAGTTTCATATTTGGGTGAACTTTTGCATGATTTCTTTCAATGATGACCTAAAATTTGATCCTTTCAAATTATAAGAAATATTATGGAGTGGGACAGTACGAGTGATTAGCTCCATATAAAGTTATTACTTGGTTAGCTTTTATATAGAAAAAATTGAGGAATTTGTGTACTTGTCTTTTCTGAGTTTGAAGGCAATTCTGGTTTCTCCAAGCTCGAAAGCAGGCCAGTCCTTCAAGTGCTCGTAAATGGCGTAGGAATAGAAGCCTGAAGAACCTCGAAGCATAATGAACCTACAAATTTACATATGATCATCATATATTATAAGTTTCAAGATCTTATCTTATATACACTTGATGCATTGGCAATAAATATGTATAGGCCAATGAGGACCTTTTATCAATATTCAAGGGTACGAGTTTGCCCCCTTGAGAGGGATCCCAAGTTCTTGTGAAAGAGAGCTCCACCTGTTCTTCATTTTCCATTATAATCGTAAAGCTTGTTCCTTTGATCCTGCATGCAAATTGTTTCAATAATGTGTGACTTTGTTCAAACAGAGTATGGTTTGTTCAAATAGAATACGGACATAATAATCGAAATTATAACTTAATATTGTTGTCGAGGGAGCAGCTTGTTAGCAGGAATTCTGTAGCAAAAAGGGGATAGGTATAGGACCATAGGTGACTATGTATTAACCATATAGGACCTATTATATATTTCACTGTTTCCCTTTTCTGTTCTACCACAACCTTATTGTCCCCATTTTGCAATAGTAGAATAAGATCCCTGCTAACAAAGGTCTCTTGTTACAGAGAGGAGCTATATATATTTCATGTAGTAAGTTATATTAATTAGCTTATATAAGTTTCAAACTATGTACCAGCCAACTAGGCCTTGAGGCTAGTGGTAATGGTATGATCTTTTCTCAGCATTGGAAGTATTCTAATCCCAAGTTCTTCGATCAAAAAAGAAAAGGAAGGCAATTAAGTGGCCCGTTGTGAAATTCGTAGTCATTTCATACTCAGTTGTTTTAAAATTAGAGATTATACAATGATATATTAGGACACATAATTGAGAAATACATTGTGTGATGTTCTGATTATACTATAAAGAGGGTAACAATATATCGGACGTACACATCAAATATTCCTGTTGTTCCAGTAGTGGCTGAGTTCCAAACAAGGTCCCAGTACCTACAATATTTTCCATTCAAATTAACTACATAATAAATAAATGAAACATATATCAAAGGACACTGAGAATTCTAAGTGATGACTGTTGTAAGTTGTGAAAATACCCTCTGTTAGATTCATCGTTACGAATTTCAAGCAAGTTATCGATGCCATTGTATCGAATTCCAGTCACGATTCCCTCTGGCTTTGATAGCGTCACTTGGAGAATCCCATTATCCATCATTACCTGCAATTCAGTTCACCATGAAAAAGTTTCAAACCAAACCAAAACATCCAAAACATGCATGCATTCCTGCCTACAGATTTATCAAACTAACATGCAGAAAGTTAAGAAAAATTGCACTGCAGATTTTATCAGGTCATTTACATGGTGATCTTGAACAAGCAATTCAACCCCAATAGGTGCCATGATGGATGATCGATCGAGCTGATTTCTAGAACTTATTTCAATACAGCAATGGAAATATATGTCAGTTTTTATCTAGTTTTATAGCACTGACCCTCTAAAAGAAATTAATCAATTAATTAATTTATAAAAAATAATCTGATTACTAAAAAGCAAGATATAAAGGGATAATTATAAGAATACATACGTAGAGAGTAGAGTAGTTTACTTGGACTAAAAACAAAGCAAAGCTTTTCCAGCTTTCATTTGTGTAACATATATATTATATATGGTTACTTAGTCGGCACTATTGCTTAATTGTTAGGCGTGCAAGATTCGCTCGCTTTCTAGGCCAGCGCTCTTATCACATATAACTTTGTTGTACGAATACTTTTACTTCTTTTGTTGAACTTGAAAGGATTGATAACTAATTTATAGGGATAGGATTCTGGGATCAAATCATTTACAAATAGTGTTCCAACATTTTGATGAAAACAAAAACAATACAAGAAGTCTAACTAGAAACTGCACTAATTAAATCCCGAGATTAGCGTAACTTTACCCAATATTATTCATGCTCAAGCTCGGAAAAAAAGCTCATAATCGCAAGCTCAAGCTGATCAACTCTGATAATTTTTTGAAGCTCATTCTTTAAACAAACTCAAGCTTTTGTTTAGTCCGATTTAATTTTCATTAAAACCTAATACAATAAACATAACAAAACTGTTGATATTAACGTTGCAAGAGTGTGCACAAAATAATAAGTTAAATACTTTAAAATGACTTCGTATCCAACATAAACAATACGAGCTGCTCACAAGTTTTGTGAGCTGAACGCTCATCTCATTTTTCTAACGAGCCTAACATTTTGTTCAAGTTCAACTCGTTTAACATACAAACCGCGCTTGCATTTATTTTATTTTGAACTATAATTACATGTATGTATGTATGTAATATTATTCAATTGTATGTAAGTAGATATATGTACATGAAATATTACACACGCTGATACAAACATATGAACTTGAATCTAAGATGAACTGCAATTACAAGGTGGGGGACCTTCAAATCGTATATAATCGTACATAATCCCTTGGAAATGTTAAACTATCCCACATCGGTGGGGTGAAGAAAACCAAAAGGGTTTAAATAATATTACCCCACTCTAACTAATACCGAGGCCTTTTGTGGTAAAACCCCACACCTAACGGATTGGGCAGGTGGTTAAGTTGGGGACAATATCGGTGTCGTTAGAGTGGGGCGGGCCCGACGATCCAAAAATTTCAACATGGTATCAGAGCCCACGGTTGCGGGCCCGTGCAAGCCAACGAGCTTGTGTGCAAGCCAATGAGCTTGTCACCACCTGGAAGGAAACAAGTCTAAGCTCTTAATATAGAGACGACCCCTGAGTTCCATTGAAAACAAGGGGGCCCAACGTGAGCCAACCTCTGAGTTTCAATTACCGATGTAGATCTCCACGTGTGAACCACTAAATGAGGTTACACGTGAGGGGGGACCTCTGAGTTTCAATTACCGATGTGGATCTTCACGTGTGAACCACTAAATGAGGTTACACGTGAGTAAGGTTACACTTGAGGGGGAGTGTTAAACGTGAGTAAGGTTACACTTGAGGGGGAGTGTTAAACTGTCCCACATCGGTGGTTTGAAGAAAACCAAAGGGGTTTAAATAGTATTACCTCACTCTAACTAATACCGAGGCCTTTTGTGGTAAAACCCCACACCTGACGGATTGGGCAGGGCCTTTTGTGGTAAAACCCTACACCTGACGGATTGGGCAGGTGGTTAAGTTGGGGACAATATCGGTATCGTTAGAGTGGGGCCAAGAAAGGACTGGTGCATCTTGGTTGTCTAAAGAAGAAAGTATTATTCCCCTCAACAAGCTGAGCGCCTGGTACGTTAATGTTGTACAGCCAGTAAATCCCATGGATTCCATGTCTCGCAACCGAGTTTTCCCTCCCTATCAATCCACTAGTAAATAGAGGTCGCCTTGAATCTGGATTGTTAATCCGAACCTTACGAAAAGAAAAGGAAAGATATGTGATTTATAATCTACTAATGAAAAAAATCATGATGTACTTTACCTGCAATTCAGCAAGAGTTGCAGATGCAATTGCAACTCGCAAATTATAGCAACTGTTCCGATCCACATTTTTCAGTTCAAACTTAATCTGCCATGTTGTTCCTTCATGTCCGTTGTCTGTTTTCCTGCAGTACATGAGAACTTTAAGCACCAGGCAACCAAACGAGTGACATCTTCATTATGATTTTCACAATGACGGTTATTATTCAAAAGAAGTAAAGAACCATACCTGGGAACCTGAGCAAAGAACCAATCTTTAGCATAATCACTAACACCGACAATGTAAACCAAGTCTTCATCAGGATATAATTCAGCATATCCGTTCCAGAGCCCGTATTGCCTGAACCTGCCAGAAGGACAATGTGAAGATTGTAATAAAAGAAGTTATTACCGACCTCTTAAGCATTAATATAGATACTTTATTGAGGTCCTACTCCTATCTAGGTTTGTTTCCCCCCTCACCCACTATCGTTTGCATCAAAGAAAAACATATGTCCTCAATTTGGCTGATGGATCGTTTTAAATGAATAAAAGCCACATATAAGGTGATACAGAAAATTTTCCACCACTTGCACGTTACGAGTACAGAAGGCTAGTTTTGATCACATTCATACGGCATTATGAAGATCCACAAACAATCAACTCTTTAACATTACAACAAAAGAAGGCTTGCCTGTCAGGATGATTTATGAAAAGTCTGTTGATATACTTTGGATGAGGATCAGGAACATAAAACTCTGCAGCAGAACGATCAGGAATGCCTATTTCCCACAATGTTTGCCCACCTCTTGGAGGTTCATACACAAGATCACCCATTTCGATAAAAGAACCTGTAGCAAAAGTTATGAAACCAAAATGTGCAAGAATGGAAAAGAGAGCTAAAAAAGATTTATGAAAAACAATCGAATTAAGAATTTAGGAAGTTCGCAGAAGTTGAAAAAAATATACCTGATGTTATATTAATGACAGCATCATACCGGTAATCTCCAATAAAACCAGGTACCCATGCATAAAGATTATAAGTGCCAGTACGCACGTTGTTAATAGAAAAGTAGCCATGGTCATCTGCCCTTGTCCAGAATTGATAGTCCTAAGAAGTTTGATAACCATATAAGGATGTCTTTAGAGATTGACTTATGGAATTTGAATTGTGTTTTGGTACATATAGATATAGTATATAATATGGTTTTACCAGTCTAATTACTTCATATAATTTCAATACTAAGAGATATAACAAAAGGGGGTGAATCAACGGCATATTCTATGTCATAAAATAGATCACTCAAAACTTTTCCTTACACAAATCATATGAAAAAGCAGCTCAGTATAGTGTTATCATGATGCAACATATCTCAGCATGCTCCTCAGAAACCGTGAGTTTTATTATTTCTGGTTAAGCATCATTTCAGAGGAAAGAAAGTTTCCTCGGAAAGAAAATAAAACTTAGGATCTTGCAGGTTCTTTATTATAGGGTGGACATGCGATTGACTGAGAACGTAAGGATTTAATAAGATACGAGATAAATTTTTGTGGTCACAGTGAGAGCTTTAACACAAAAACCACAAATGTGGAATAATTTCCCACTGCTATGTGACTGTGACCTGTAGTGAAGCCCAGCTATATTAAAGAATAGAACCCTACCTAGATTTCAAATTAATTAACATAATCATAAAAAATCAAAAACCATAAATTTTCTTCGACGTAGCACATAGCTAATCAGCAAACATTGTGCAGCCCAAGATTCAAATAGAGGTTCACAAAATTCACCTTGCATTCTCTTTGCCATGATCCTGCATCTCCTGGTGGGGCAAGACCAACATAAGCACCATTCGCAGGTGTGTATTCTTTACTTATGTACATGGACATTGTAATTACAAAGACAGATCAATTTATGCATACTCGGGAAAAATTTTCATGAAAATAAAAAAAGACATAACCGACCATTAGTTTTGTTATTCTCTTTCTGGCAATGAGAGCCATGATTTGATATTTGGAAATTAAGTTATCATCCACTCATGTTAATCAATTAATTTCAAATGAAGTTTTCAAATAAAGAGAGAAAAGAAGTGAAAGTTTCACTGTGAAACTGATAGTACATGCCAGCAAATTACGTTTTCAATACTACGATTTAGTAATTAATGGTGCACACCATAAGATAAAACTAATAATACAAACAAGCGTATCTAAATTTGAACCTGTCCAAGACAAGTAGTCTACCACTCACATTACTGGACTTTTGAAAATCCTCAGATGCGGAGAAACTATATGGCCAGCTTTGTACTTCTGTCATCATCTGAATGCCAGTTTGTGTCAGCAATTTTTAATTAAAAACTTTCCTAATTTTCCATCTTTAGAAGGAAAGCGGGGTTGTTTTCTACCACAAACCTGTATTTTAGCATCCTCCCATAGCCAAAACGGATCATCTGTAATTGTGGAAGAATTGAGATAGATAAAAACAGGGCCGAAAACCTTCTTCCATGGTTCACCACCTCTAAATTTTGGCACCAGATCTTGTCCCGCATAATGACTACTAAGAAACATCTAATGACACCAATAGAAAGGTCAAAGTCAAACTAATGTCCCAAAGTTATACCAATATCTCTGATAAGCAAGAATAATCACATACAGCAAGAGTGGTAGGGCCGACATGTGAGGTTAGGTTCTGTTTTAGAGGTCCACCAGATCGAAATTCATCACTGGGCGTGATCTGCCAAAACCCAACTGGTGGGTTGGTGCATATCCACCCATGAACCTTATTATCTTGGCTGTCACACGAGTACTGGTACTTGTCATCCGCCTACAGCTCAAGAAATTATAAGAAAAGAACCTATACATAACAAAAATATAACGAAAGAAACGCACTTACAACCCTCACAGAGGTTAGAATAAAGTCTTATTTAGTAGGTGTATGGCCTTCAAAGTTCACAACTTTAGTTTAGAAAGATCTTGACCCACTAACGGGTTATTTCCACCAAGAAAACCAATGACAATAGTAAAATAACATGGAAGAATATGTTTGAAAATTGGCTCAATAGTTCCACGCCACCATCACCCCCAAAACAGAAAGAAACTCCAACACAGTAATATACAGTAGGAAGTTGTGACAAATTACCTCTCCTGCAAGGTCTTTCATCTTGGGATCAACAAGTAGGACAGCTTCTGGGTAGGCAAGGGCTTGACATTGTTCTGATAACCGGTCATCAGGTAGGGGCATGTATCTCTGCCTGTTGTCTGATACAGCCATGTATTGGAACCTATCAACTCAAATTGTACCATTGTTAATAACTCATATGCAAGCTAAAATACTAAAAAGAAAATATTTATTACTAACCTTTTGTTATGGCATATGCTGACTAGGTAATGTAAGACACACACACACAAACTTTTTTTCTCACTACAAGTTTGAAACGGCATTACGTAAAAAATCTATTTATAGGCAACTTCAGAATAGTTAAACACAGAGAAACAATATACTGCAAATAACTGATCCTGAGAACTCTAATAACTACAAATTACATAATCCCGGAGTTCTAATGAAACGAAACACTAATTCTTAGTTTGCACCTACCCAAAAATGAACACAAAGTATAGTCTCGTATGCAACAACATCATGTCTTCTGATAATTAGTTTGGTAGAAACCACTGTGAAAAATGAGAAATAGTATCTAACAATATGAAAGCAGAAGTATATTTTGTTTACTTGTCTTTTCTCAGTTTAAAGGTTATTCTGGTTTCACCAATGTCGAAATCAGGCCAATCCTTCAGGTGCTCGTAAATGCCATAGGAGTAGAAGCCCGAGGAACCACGAAGCATTACAAACCTAAATGAAATACAGATAACATTATCATTTGAAATAATAGGAATCACAATGTTACAGTCAGTTTAAATAAGCTAGATCCTAAAGTATAATTGGAATTGGCTGTACTCATAAGAATAGAAACTTTGTATGAATCCAGAAGTGACCTTTTGTATATATTTAGGGGAACGTATTTCCCCTCAAGAGAGCAATCCCATGTTTTTGAAAATGAGAGCTCAACCTGTTCCTCACTCTCCACTATAACCTTAAAAGTTGTACCTTTTATCCTGTAAAGTTATCAGATAATTTCACTCCATCAGATAACGTAAAAAAGTTGCTCCATTATATCTAGAGAGAAAGGAGGGGAAATACATACACATCAAATATTCCCTTACTTCCTGGTGCACTCCAAACAAGGTCCCAATAACTACACAATCATTGGAATCCAAAGTCATAATCTTCAAAGACAACAAAGGCCAAATATACTATATTAAATGACGAAGAAGACGAGAGTAAGAAGGAGAAGGGGGAAGAGGGGCAAAAATAGAAGCAACTAAACACGGTGATCATGAACCCTCTGTTAGTTTCCTTATTAAGAGGTTCAAGTAAATTGTCAATGCCATTATATCGTATTCCAGTGACAATGCCATCTGGGTTTGATAAGGTGACTTGGAGTATGCCATTATCCATCACCACCTGCATACGGAAGCAAGTTCAAGCACATAAAGCAAAAATTAACATAACCGAAACACATTCATTTTAACTCAACAAAAGTCTAATCAATTCAAATTATATCTAATTTAGCAACTTCTAGCCTACAATTAGGCTGATCACTCACATGGGGGCCTTGAATATGCCGCGGCAGATGACATAGTGTACGACACTTGATATATTGGAGCTTGTTTGCCACAAACAACCCAGATTATGAATTTCTGAAGCACACAAAAAACCCCAAATTTATGATGTTCTATGTGCAAGAAATGTGGCGCAATCCGATCATGGAAAATATGTAATTTGCAATAATTACCCAGATGGAATATCAATTTCATCCAATTGACTCTTTCCCAAAAACCAAAAACACATGTACTAATATGTAAAGATCAAAATTTTTAAGAAATGAAAACAATATCCGCATTTGTTAAAGCTGTGATCACTTACACGAGAGAGATGGGTTTGCTCGGGTTTGTGAGATCACTAAGTTGCCCCGGAAGATGTCATCGTCTTCTTCCCTCAACGTTGGTGGGTGAGTGAGAGGGAGTAAGTGTGATGGGTGGTGGCTGAGTGAGAGTGAGTGTGATGGGGGGTGGGGATGGCATAGGATGATTAATTTGACAGTTGATAACTTATACCTGCCGTTGCCGCGCATTTGGGAGAATGAGGACGGTTTGCTATTGCCAAATTTTCTTGTACTTATTTATTTATTTGTTATTATTGTTATTTATTTTTTTTGTCAAAGTTATTATTATTATTTGGGTTTTTATCACAAATGGTTTCTGAAACTGACCTTAACCATCAAGATGATCCCTAAAATTGAAAATCAATCAATGTAGTCCCTAAAAATAGGTGTCGCAAATCAATGTGGTCATTCCGTCACAATTCTGTTAAAAATTCTGTTAAGTGCTGATGTGGCACATAAATGAGTCTCATAAGTCTTTTTCCCTCACAAATGGTCATTGAAATTGACCCACGACATCAAAGTGGTCCCTAAAATTGACCTGCAACATCAAAATGGTCATTGAAATTGAAAATCGATCAATATAGTCCAGCAAATAAGTGTCACAAATAAATGTATCATTTCCGTCACAATTGACACATAAATGGATCACACAAATCTAATTAAATTAAGAAATTACAAATAAATTTAATAATTTAGAGGTATTTGTTGATATGCCCCCTTGAACTTGTATGCAGCTGCCAATTCCCCCCTTTCCCCCTACAAACTTTAACTTTAGCGATGACCCTTGTGAACTATTTTAAATAGCCAATTTCCTCCTTAAACTTTAATTTTAACCAATCTCCCCCCTGAACTTTTATAAATAGCCAATTTCCCTCTTGGCGTTAAATTTTAAAAACTTTTATTCAATTTTTCATCCATCCAATTTTTTTTTTTCCTTTTTGCCCTCATATAGTTGTCATGTGTTGTTTTCATGAATAAGATGGATGGAAAATTAGATGAAATTTTTTAAAATTCTAACACCAAGTGGGAAATTGGCTATTTATAAAAGTTCAGAGGATAACCAACTATAATTAAAGTTCAAGGGGGAATTGGCTAACTATAAAAGTTCAATGGGGTAATCGACTAAATTAGAGTTCTAGGGGAAATTGGTAGCTCCATACAAGTTCAGGGGGCAAATCGACAAATATGCCAATAATTTAATAGTTAATAAAAAGTTGTGAACCAAAAAACCCAGCCCTGCAATCACCTCCCATCCCAGTCCACATTCCTCTACCTTCTTCGTTGTCTATTCTCTAAAAAAAAATCTCAATACCCTCATCTTTACACACTTTGACACCCTTCACTGAATTGAACCTGGATCGAGATCACCTTTGGCGACGACTTGGCTGATTGGCAACAATTTCTAGGACATTACCGATAACATTTACGCGATCAACATCCTCACAACCTTAATCTTGAACAGTTTGTTCGACGTTTCCCTGGTAGTCTGGTGACTCAAAGAACGGCGAGGTCTGCTTTGAGATAATGAGGTTATAACCAAGGTGCGTCTATTGTTGGTTGAAAACTATTTCCAAACCCCCTCTTAGGCCTTGGTTAAGCCTTGTGCCTTTGAGAATTTATGGAAGGGATCTCTCTTCAAAGTAGGTCCTACTATAAGAAAAAATTCTATTGTGCAAAAAGGTATTAAACAACCTTTTTAATTAATTATTAAACCCACATTAGCACATGACAATTTTTTTTTACAGAATTGTAGCGAAATGATCAAATTGATTTGTGATGCCTATTTTCAAGGACTATATTCATTGATTTTCAATTTTAGGGACCATCTTGATGATGTGAGTCAATTTCAAGGACAATTTGTGATAAAAACTAGTAAATCTTGTGGGGCCCATTTATGTGCCACATCAGCACTTAACGATTTTTTTAACAAAATTGTGACGGAAGGATCACATTGATTTGTGACACCTATTTTCAGGGACTACATTGATTGATTTTTAATTTCAAAGACTATCTTGATAGTAAGGGTAAATTTTAGGAACCATTTGTAATAAAAACCCTTATTATTTTGAGTGGAGTGATAAGGAGTCTGGAGAGTCAACAAGATCGAACTTGCACTAAGGTATATAGACTTAGCTTTTTACTGTTACTACGGTAAAACAACATCTTTTTATTTATCTTGATCAAATGCCAAATTGCCCATTTTTTTCAAAAAAAAAAAAATGGCTACAACTTAACAAATTTAGGAAAGTTTTTAATACAAGTGATATTGGGAGGTAGAATTAAACTTGGAGCTTCAGGTGCACGGTTTTTAACTCTTAACCAATTGAAATACAAAAATGGACAAATTCAAAAATTAAAGTTGGGCTGAATGAACTTTGAAGCCAAATTTATTAGTGGAAAGTTTTTCCGAAGGTTTGCATAATCTTTTTTTTTTTTTTGGAATATTTTTGCTCACCACCGTGAAGTGATAATAAGTAGAGTGATCACGTCATGAGGAGATGCCTACTTTTGTTGCTGATTTGGTGGATATGGGGGGTAAGTGGAAGCGGGAGGTGATTGAATTATGTTTTAGTGAAGATGAAGCTAAGGCAATTTTAAGTATGCCTTTTAGTAGGTTGGGATGTTCGGATCGAGTGGTGTGGCATTATACACGAAATGGAGTATATTCGGTGAAGTCTGGGTATATGGTGGCGCAAGAAATGAATAAGAATGGTGAGCTCAAACGGATAGGTGTAGGTCAATCTAGCATGGCTGATAATAGGGATGTGGTTTGGCGAGATATTTGGAGTTTGAAGGTTCCACCCAAATTATGTCATTTTATTTGGAAGGGGTGTAGGAATATTTTGGCAGTGCGTAAGAACTTACAGAGGCAAGGGGTTCGTTTGGAGATTACTTGTCCTTTTTGTGAAAATGAGGTGGAAACGCAAGTACATATTTTTTTTCGATGCCCATTTGCCCGTGCTTTCTGGTTTGGTTCTCCGCTTCAATTAGATGTAACTATGGTGGCAAAGGGGGATTTTTTGGAATGTTGGAAGTGGTTATATGCTAAATACAGTATGGAGGGAGAGGCTAGTGATTTGATGCGATGGGTGGTTGGTGGCTTATGGAGGATATCGAAATGTCGTAACAGCTTGGTTTTTGAGAAGGTTGACATAGAACCCCTTGTTGCCATACAATTGCTTAAACAACAATGGGAGGAGTGGATGATATGTGATGAAGCACAGGTGAAGCCTTCTTCCTGTGGGCAGCAAGTGAGAAGACCAGACCCTCATGGGTGGATCAAGCCACCTTTTGGAACTCTTAAAATTAATTGTGATGGTGCTTGGTGTAGTCGGGCGGGTATAGGTGGTGTTGGATGGGTGGCAAGAGATTTTGTGGGCATTTTCAATGGTGCTGGTGGTATTGGCAATATTCCTTGTGTCTCGAGTATTATGGTGGAAGCGGAAGCAATACGGGTGGCTTTGGTGGCTTGTGTGGAGAGAGGCTTTACCTCTATACAATTGGAGACTGACTCTCAGGTTCTTGTTGATATGATTCATGGCCGTATACAACTAGAGGTGGTCTTGGATGGTATCTTGTGGGATATTAATTATATTGAAGCAACAATTTGATGCTATTGAGTTTCTCTATGCTCCTCGTGCCTGTAATAAGGCTGCGCATATGGTGGCATCTTATGTCGTGCGTATGGGGGGTAGTCATTCTTGGGATGGTTTAGAACCAAAGTGGTTGTTTAATACTTTGACTTCTGATGTAAACATTTCGATTCGTATTTAATTTTAATCCAACATTTGGCAAAAAAAAGATAATAAGTAGAGTGATGATCACCACTCAATATACTACCCTTGGATGAGTTATAATTTCGAGATTTATGTAATGGATAGACATAAATCTCAAAATTTAAATTCATCAAATGATAATAAGTAAGGTGATGAGCAATAACACCATTTAAGGATATGCACCCCTTAACTTATTTGGTAATTGGAAAGTAACAATGAAATGTAGAAACAAATTTTCTTTTTCTTCTTCCTCCTAGCAGTGTTTTAAAAATCAGCCAAAGTCTAGGTTGTCTATTACTGCCTTTATTTCTGTCGTGATTAACTTCTAAGCAGTCACAAAATCAAAAAGAAAAAAAATATTGTTGCAGAGCCGTTGGTGCAACTCACGATAAGAAGATACCACTGTTTAATCTTTACCTGGAAGGCATCAATTTCCTAAAGTTGCAATGATTTTGATTACATGATTATCCCTTTTTTTTCTCTATGAAACAACCTCACCATCTTTGTTTTCATGATATTACGATTTGAATAATAAGTAGATCAACTTTTTAGACCATATGTCACAGTCTGTCCCGAATTAAAGTTATCGATAACGTGAATTGACGAAATTGTCCTTGAACGGTTGGTGGTGGTGTGTGTAAATGGGCTAAGGTTTGGACTCAATCAATTTTTTAAAGTTTTAGTTGTTTGGTTGGTAACCCAATTTGGACCACACACAAACAAAAGTACCTTTCTCTCTCTTCTCTCCCGTGCTCTCTCCCTCGCACTCACTCTCTATCCTTTTCTCTCGTACAGATTAACAACAAACTAGTCGAAAGTTTGCAGATCGAGGGTTTAAAGGACACCATTGTGTTCCTGAGGTTCATACGAGTTGAATGGTACCATTTTTAGGTAAGAACTTCTTCGAAAACTCGTGAAAACCCTAACCCAATTTATGTCACTATTCATGCAATCGTAAAATCATGTCTTTTGGGATTTCAAGCTTACAGGTAGCTTAAGGAGGTCCTCACGAGGCTCAGAGTGGTTCGTTGGAAGAATTTGGACGTCGGATTATCGAGAACGACAAGTTTTAAGATTTGCTGGAATATCGAGGCTTTTTCCGACGGGTTTCTGGGGTTTCAAGGCTCGACTCAGGTATGGTTTTGTTCATCTTGGTGAGATCTTCAAATTGGTTCAAATTTCATGGAATTTGGTTAAGAAATGAAGAAGATATGAGGTTTTGAAATAAATTCCAAAAACCGGCGAAGTCATCGGCATCCGACGACTCGTCGGAGAAGACAAGGGCATATTTCGTCAGTTTTGACGGAATATGCTAACGGCGTTAGATGACGCCTTTAATAATTGATGGTATATGCTTGCTTTTGGATGGAATATTCCTGACGGCGTTAACTACCGTCGTCAATGTGCCTGGCACGTGAGCGGAAATTTTTTCTAAAAATATGGGGATGTTCATGAGGTTGTGTAGATCATGTTGGTATATTCAAACATCCCATTTGAGCAATGTATGAGAAATTATTAGCTAGTATTGGTTATATGCTTTAAATTAACGTTTTTATAGTTGTTTCACATATAAGGGAGACTTATCCTGAAGACGAGCGCAGTCAAGGTCGACTCGAGGGCTACGACCCTTCAACATACTAGTGAGTGGGCTTTTGATTTTCAGTATATATTAATATACTTGATATTTTCCCAGAAAAATGCATTTAAATGAGTTATGCTTTGAAAATGCCATGCCTATTGATTTATGCTTAAACCATGTTAGAATTGTATGCATAAATATAATTGTGGTGCCATGGACGCTCAGGTAAGCTCAAGTGAGTTTATGAATTGTGAATGTGAATAATGGTTGTAACTAATTGAGAAGCATAGAGCTCATAAACTTGCACTTTGGTGTTAGTGATTAGCCAGAGATATGACACAGACCTATATATAATGTCACCTCCCGCATCCTATGCTCACATTGGATCCAATTTAGGTGCACAATCCTATCGTACAGACCATCATAGGTGGTTCCGACTCGTAGGTGACTAGCGATTTATCGCCCAGCTATCATGAGAGCATAGTATTGAGCATAATTATATTACACCCAGTCTTGTCGTACATACCCTTTTAGTGGTTCCGACTTGTGTGCAGTGTAGTGTCATATAGGTCATTTGTAGTGACTCCGGTTAGATTGACTAATGAGCTATGATTTTAGCCGTACAGACTTTTGCAGGGGTTTTGGCTAATATGTTATTTTCCATGAATTTATTCTCACCTGAATTACTTATTCTATTTTATGTTTTGGCATGGCATACTTATGAATATGGTTATGTGAAGCATGATTTGAATTGAGATATATATATATATATATATATATGCATATGTTTATATTCTATTTCTGGGAAAATTATACAGGTTTTATGGCGAGGGGTTAGAACTTTTGAGAAATGAAATGATTTTTGAAAAGCTTTGTTTTTGCCCAATCACATTTTATGTTTTGCGCCTCTCCAGGTTTTAGGTAGACTTGCTGTTGGTGGCGTACAAGGATCTCGGCGGTTCTGACAGAATAAAATATTTGTAGGACATCTTCTGGTACTGTATAACTAGTACTTGTCCTACTAGACTGCACCTAGACTTTCTATGCTCTGATTAAGGGTATTTATACTTGTATCTCACTCGTAACACTTCCTGTTTATAAGTGCACATTAGTAGCTTTCGGTTTTTATTTATTCATATATTTCTTATCTTTATTGCTTCCGCATTGTGCACATGGCTACGTCACCCTCACGTCATCATGCCTCGATCTCGGTCAGGGTGTGTCACCATATTTATAACATATGTGACGTGTCACTAATAGAAAATAAACATGTTAATCAACTTTTCTTTCATGCACACGCGTGCAAAAAACATTTTTTTAATCACGGTGTGCTATGCGCGACTACTCATTTTTTGAATCACATTATTACTGGCCTATTGTTAGGCCAAGCCTACTTCTTCCCCTCAGGGGTAGATAATATGGTTGGTTCAAAAAAAAAAACAATCATTTGACAACTAATTATTATGTGCATGCGAAAAATCTTTTTTATAACCGGCACTATGGCTCTTAAGATGTTTTAAACGTGTTTAAAAATAGAGAAAATTACATTTAATAAACAACTGATTGAATTACATTATTGCTAGCCCATTGTGAGGTATTAATTATAAAAATAAAAAAATAAAAACTGCACAAAAAAACACTATTTATATGACGAAAATACCGTTACATTATTTTGGACTGCTTTTGAACTTTTTTGTTTGTGGGCATTTTTGTCCCATTATTTTTGGTGCCCGTGACCCCAAATGGGACTATTAAGCACGTGCAAAAAGCATTTTTTGAATCACGGTGCCATGCGCGACTACACATTTTTTTGAATTACATTATTGCTAGTTCATAGTGAGGCTAAGCCCACCCCTCTCCTTAGTGTAGATAATATCATTTGTTAAAAAAAAAAATCATTTGACAATTAATTAAATCACATTATTATGCGCTTGCAAAAGATCTTTTTTTATAAGCAACACTACGCCTTTTACGATGTTTTGAACATGTTTAAAAATAGAGAAAATAATATTTAATAAATAACTGATTGAATCACATTATTGCTAGTCTATTGTGAGGTATTGATTATAAAAATAAAATAAAAAACTGCACAAAAATAAATTAATTATAAAAAAACACTATTTATATGACGAAAATACCCTTGCATTATTTTGGACTGCTTTTGAACTTTTTTGTTTGTGGGCATTTTTGTCCCATTATTTTTGGTGAAGCCCGCGACCCCAAGTGGGGGCTGTTAAGCACATGCAAAAAGCATTTTTTGAATCACGGTGCTACGTGCAAAAGCGAAGCTACGTAGGAGCGAAGGGGGGCGTTCGCCCCTCCGCTCGTCGGAAAACAAAGGCAGGAGCGACGCTTGAACCCCTCTGGTTCGGCCGGAAACTGGGGAGCACCGGGTTTTGAAACCAGAAACAGAGGTAGCTCTCGGGGAAGATGACGGGGAGGGTTTTTTTTTTTAAATTTTAAAATCCAGGCCAAAACGACGTCGTTTTAGGCCTAGTAAAAAAATTTAAATTTTTTTGGTAAACGGTGTCGTTTTGGTTTAATGAAATAAAAAATATATATATAAACGGGGGGACCACTGGTCCCCATCCCTATCTCGATCCCCATTCCGTTTCAAATTAAAAACCCTTCACCCTTTTCCCCATATCCCATCCCGTCAGTCCCCCCACCTTCCCCCCCCCCCCCCCCCCCCCCCAACACGATAAAACCTTATGTAGACTATAGCAGATTTCACTTTCCATTGGTTGTTGGCCACCAAGACCAGACACATCAGTCTGCAACTGCAAGCACAGCCACTCCAAATTCCAATTAAGGTAAAATTTTTAATTTATTTCAAACCCTAATTGATTATTGAATATAAATTTTTGTTTAATTGATGTAGGATTATAGGGTTATACATTATATGGTTATTGATTATAGATTATTCATATGAATACTATGATTATTGATTTTTTTTTTTTGAAGTACATAAAAGAGGATTGATACATTATATACATTAACATAATGAACCCCAATTCAACTAACTAAAACCCTCATTCAAATGCATTGTTGGTACTTATTAATTACATTCATAGTCTACATACTCTACTGTAGAATAAAAATTGATTATTCATATGATATGATTGTTGGTACTGATTAATTAAATTCGTAGTCTACTCTAGGACTAAGAGTCTAAGATATATTTGTTTTTCTTTCGTTATACAGTTACGTAATGGAACGATATTATAAGAAACAGTGCTTAAATCATTCTCCAAAT